ATCTACCATCTAATATTTAATTCTTTTTTTAAAGTTTCTTTTTAGGGGGGGAGGGGCAGAGAGAGACAGAGAGAGAGAGAGAGAGAGAGAGAGAGACAGACAGAGAGACAGAGAGAATCTCAAACAGGCTCTGTGCTCAGTGCAAGGACCAATGTGGGGCTCAAACTCATGAACCATGAGATCATGACCTGAACTGAAATCAAGAATTGGGCACTCAACTGATGGAACCACCCAGGCACCTCTAATTCTTAATTCTTAATCTACCACCTAAATGAGTCTAATTTTCCATCTTCTATAAAAATTGATAATGAGACCTCTTTAAGCCCATGCCTTTCCTTGGTTTTAGCCCATATGCTTGGAAAAGTTTGCCTCTGTCTTCTGCCCCTCCCCGCCCTTTTACTGAGATCTGTTAATTTCTTTCAAACTTCAGTTCTCTCTACTAGCACAGAATGCAATAGACACATGGCAGTTGTGCACTCACTCTGATTAACACAGGAAGAAGAACTAGTTTATTCAGATCATCTTTCCACTCCAATCTTGCCCCGGACCAAAAAGGCCACACAAGTAAACATGTATATATTCCATTCTATTGATGTGATATTCAAATTAACTGAGTAGCAGCTGGCAGATCATTGCACATGTTCTTTGTAAATGACCCTTTTGATAAATCCTAACCTTAAAAAACTTACAAAGGGAAATGACAAAATCAGGAAAAGGTAAATTAAATACATTAAATCAAGGCTTGCTTTACTGTTACCTTCCAACAAGCCCAAACCTTCCCTTCCTTTTTTCCTTTGCTCTTTTTAAAATTGGAAGTATCATCGATATATAGTATTATATTCATTTCGGAAGTATAACAAATAATTTGGTATTTTATGTATTGTAAAATGATCACAAGTCTAGTTAATAAGATTAATAATCATCACACATGATTACAAATTTTTTTCTTGTGATGAAAACTTTTAAGATCTCCTCTCTTAGCAATTTCAAATATAGAATTCAGTATTCCTAACTACAGTCACCATGTTGTATGCTACATTCCCATGACTTATTTTATAACTGGAAGTTTGTAACTTCTGACCCCCTTCATGCATTTCACCCACACCCACGGCCCCCCCACCCCTGGCAACCACCAATCTGTTCTACCTATCCATGAGTTGGACCAAAATTCCTTTTTTTGATATCAGCTTTACTGCTGGGCAGAAAGCCATCATCATCTCCTATCTGTGAATAATTCTGAATATGCTGTCAAGCTAGTAAAATGTTCAGAGTGGACCACATCTTCAGTAATCTCCACAAGTTTGCAATTTTTCAGGTAAAGCTGTACTTTAATGTGTCCAAATAAATTCATTGTTCTCTCAATCTAATAAAAGCTTTTCTTTGTTCTAATACTCAGAAGGTGTCAGGCTGTGAATCTATACTTTTTAGAACTCATATTACAATATGGGGCTTTCATGATTTTTAACTGTTCTTCGGCCCTTGAAGTACACTGTTATTCTGGATGTAGGCTTACTCATGGTGGGCTTTGTCCTCACGTTAGGGTAATTTATATTTCATTTCTTACATATCTTTTAGATATCAAGAGGAATTTTTTCCAAATGCAAATATGCCTTGCCATGGGAGCACATACACAGATCACCCGCAGAGGCCCACTAAAAGAAAAAACTACCTACAAATTCATAACCAATCCTTTCTCTAGAATTATAAAAGGCAAAAGATATATCTAAAGAGAAACCAGAGTATTCCAGAGTTGTAATTTTGTATGATTTATAAATTACATGATTAATCTGATTTTTTCTATTAATATCTTTTCTCACTAAGCTATAGTCTATATCTTTGGTTGGGCTCCCGATGGAGCAGACGGAGAAGGAGACAGTGGGATTGGAGCAGGAGGTTTATTTAGCAAATGTTTTTGGGATCCTCATCTGCGGAAAGAATGGGAAGAAACAGGGATTGAGCGGAGGAGGAGTTGGTTTGTGATATAATCTCAACCAAGTTCTCACCTGACCCCATGGGAATCTCCGAAGCTGAATGGCCCTTCATAATTGTCCCAAATTAGAGTAAGAGGGTCAGATCTTTGTTTGCCTGGCATTGGATTTAGCCTGCCAGAAGAAGGGGATGTGACTGACTTGAATGAAGTGACTCTTCAATTTCTAAGTTACTTCCAAGTTCTGACAGCCAGGGCTGGCATCGTGGATGTGCAACTTGTGTAGTTACACAGGGCTCCAAGCTTAGAAAGGCCTCACTCTTAGTTTAATACTCTGCCATCTTTGTCTTAAAACTCTTAATTTTTTTATCAGGGAGCCCCAGATTTTCATTTTGCATTGGGCCCCACAAATTATGTCATTGGTCCTTTACAGGGTTCTTCCTCTTGGGCACCCAGATTCTCTCCTTTCAGTCAATGGGTCTGGGTCCAACAACTGGCTTGGGTCTGGAAACTGGATGAGGGATCATTTTTATTGAGGTGTTTGCCGTCAGCCTACTGATCATCCATCTTGATTTGACTGTACAGATAGAGCAGTACCCTTGCTAACTGACCATCTGTGTTACCATGTTCTATAGACCCTCTCCATATCTTTCAGGCTGGCATGCTGGACTGGCCACTTATCATAATTGCAGCCGTCAGGTTTCTAACAGTTATGTACTAACAGTTATGTACCCTCCATTAATTGGGGTCCTATCATGTCCCTTGCTATCAGTGAGCCCAAATGGGTATTTATTACATAATGTAATGTGGGTCAACACTGTATCCCAGAAGGCTGTTTTAGTGCTGGGCACATTGGTGTTCATAATTTATTAAACTCATATTATCATATTGGGCTATTGCTACCTTCGTCACTCTTCTATTCATCACTTGATGCCTATCATGTGTTAGAACTGATGCCTTGTTAGAACTGAGGCTATGGCATTGTTGCCTGCTCAAAGCCTATTGGGAAATCACCTAATGTGGTTAACAGGTAAAACTGATTATATGGGTTAAGAGCTTAAGAAAATGGTGAAAATGTTATTAAAGATCACCTGATGGTGCAGCTCACTCCCTAGCAAGTCCCAACAGAGGGGACATTTGAACAGTATCTTTAAAATTTTTTTTTTTTCAATGTTTATTTATTTTTGGGACAGAGAGAGACAGAGCATGAACGGGGGAGGGGCAGAGAGAGAGGGAGACACAGAATCGGAAACAGGCTCCAGGCTCTGAGCCACCAGCCCAGAGCCCGACGTGGGGCTCGAACTCACGGACCGCGAGATCGTGACCTGGCTGAAGTCGGACGCTTAACCGACTGCGCCACCCAGGCGCCCCTGAACAGTATCTTTAAAAACACATGCTTCCTCCAGATCCAGAAAGCAGCAAACAGTCAGCAGGAGGAGTAGGATTTCTGGGCACCTTATACTCAGACCTCATCATTTCATCAGTACTATTTAGAACCAAATTACAGTCCTTCCCGTCCTCCTCTCCACCACCACCCCCCCCCCCCCCCCCCAGGATCTTTTCTTTTTCCAATGCCTTATGAAATCTTTCCTCAACTTACCCTCTTCAAAGTCAGCATTTTGCTGTGCAGAAGTCTGTCATCTCTAAAGTTCATTGTGCCCCTTCTATATTCCAGAGCATTCATAAAAACCTAAAGTAGTCTAAACTTAATGACCCACAAGTTCCTGTTTATGCCTAAATTTGTTTCTAGACGGTGTATTCCTTAACTTCATCAAGAACAGATCCTTAGAATTCCATGGTTTAACTGATATGTATAGCTATAATATGAAACAGTGTTCTTTACAGTTTTAAATAAGTTACATGCATTGGTTTTCCTTTATTGTTTTGTTCTTCTCAAAGGATTCCACTTAGGTCTGATTTTTTCCCAGACAGAAAATACTTGTTACATACTTCCTGCTAGATTATCACTTGAGATTGTCAAAACCTACCTTTATCATTCAGCGCTCTCTTGCTCTGAAGCTTTCCCTGAGCTCTGAAAACAGGCCTGAGACTTCCATCTAATCTACAAAAGGAGCACTATCCACTGGTGCTGGCAGATGGACCGCTTGAGGTGTTAGATGATGACATATGGAAACATAAAAGGCAAAATTAAAATTTGCTCATGAAGCTTCTCTCTTAACCTTTCAATCATTCATTGCTTTGTTTGAAACATTCTTGCAATGGAATTGAGTTATAATTCAATTTTTAAGTTTTTGGGTTTTTTTGGTAATCTTACTAATGCTTTTTCAACTGCTAACTCATCTACAAACAGTTATGTTGAGGAAAAAGACCAACTTGCAGTTGCTTAGAGAAAATATGGAAGTGATTCATCACGTATACATTTGTAAATTTTTGCTCAGGCCATAGGTTTTTTCCTCAACTTTGATCTTCAGAAGTACACTAGAGATACTTAAATAACAGAATATCCACATTATGTCACTCACAAGAATGGCTAAAAAGAAGGGGCCAAAGTCAGGTCAGTAACACTTTAATAAAACGAACAGAAATCTGTTATAACAACAGCTTTTTATTACATGGATTCAAATGAACAGCAGACCAATCATGTTCCCTGAAATTCAACACTCACATTCAACAGAGGCCTGATAGTGCGCTCCTCAACGCTTGTAGTTCTAAGGGGCTTCCTTCGAATTCCCTTTACAAAGCCTTGCGCAAAGAAGAGGTTAAGCACCAGTAAGAAAGACTGTTGCTAGCAGTAGTTTTAGTCTTCATCATCTTCATCATGGTCATCAACAACAAACATGCAATTTCTTCCTTCTATGTACATGGCATTGTAAAATGGGTGCTACACTCTGCCTATGGTACAAAGTTTATAAATACAATATACCAATACAAAGTTGAAGCCATTAAAAAGAGCTTAATAACTACCAGGAGATAATTAAATCTGGGGTGTTGATGGACTCTATGAAGAGATTTAGAAATGACACACAAACTCAAACATAGTAAACATTTTACTTGGGAAGGGGTGAAAGGAGACTTCTTATGTGCTACGGGGGGTTTCAAAGTTGCTTCAGGCTTACTTTCTTTCTGCTATTATCTTTAAATACTGTAAAGCATTGTGAGCTGCGTCACTCTGGGCATTGCCACAGGAGATCCCGGAGCCATGACAGACTGTGATGGGACTGGTGGATAGTTCAGCGAGACACTGATACTGTCCATTGGCACTCAGCTCTTCTGCAATGACATTCAAACCGCACAGTTAAGACCAAGTGGATAGAAAGCAGATTCTCTGTGAAAGCAAGTTTTTACTATTGTCTTCCTTTATAGACCTATGGTATAGGACTCTGCTTCCTCCACATCTTTATCATCCTTATACAAACAGACACCAAAACACAACTGATCAACTCTAGTAGCTCTCAAACACAACTGGGCTTCATAATCACCTGACGGAGCTCAAAAGAAATGCAGGCTCAATCAGACACACAGGACTAGGGGTTGGAGTAGCCAGATTCTTGCATTTCCTCTTAAGAGCTCCCAAGGCAATTCTAATGTGTCTAGTTGAACAGTGTTTGCAAACTGAACCACAGTGACTTTTTTAGAGAGGAAAAAACCATTTGCTAGAGAACTAGAGAGATTGTCTTCTTCCCTATGAAATCTAGAGTTACTTTCAGTAGACATCTGAACCAGGAAATACAGGGTTCAGAGCAAGACTTCTCTCTTGCCTTCAATGTTCTTTTGTTATACATCTATGCAGATAGTCTAGTTCCATACTGCATATGGGTTAGGGTGTTTTAAAAATACCTAAACTCAGGAAACAAATGTTCTTCTCATCAATGGATCAATCACTGTCACTAAAGACGGTTAGATGACACAAGGGAAAGAGGTAGAAACAGGTGAGTTACAATTTGTTAAAAGTGGTCATGATTAAACGCTATTTCAGCTAGAGTCCATATAACAGGAAACATCCAGATACAGTGGAATGACTTCATGTGTGAAGAGGCTTTCTAGTGCTGGCGTTGAGACTCTTTTGTTTTCTTTTAAATTGAGGTAAAATTCACATAACATAATGTTAACCATTTTAAAGTGAACTATTCAGTAGCATTTAGTACGTTCACGATGTTGTGCAACCACCACCTCTCACTAGTTACACAACATTCACAACATTTCATTTCCCCCAGAAGAAACACCAGATACATCAAGCAGTTGCTCCCTGTTTCCCCTCCCCTGAAGCTCCTGGCAACCATCTTGGATTAACCTACCCTGGATATTTGATATAAACGGTATCATACAACATGACCCTTTTGTGTCTGGCTTCTTTCACTTAGTATGTTTTCGAGGTTCATCCATGTTGTAGCATGTAGCAGAACTTCACTTCTTTTCATGGCTGAATAATAATAATTGCATGTATATCCCATGACTGATTTATCCATTCATCTGCTTATGGACATTTGGGCTGTTTCCACCTTTTGGCTACTGTGAAAAGTACTACTATGAACATGTGTGTACAAGTATTTGTTCGAATACCAGTTTACAATTCTTTTGGGTATATACCTAGCAGGATTGCTAGGTCATATGGTAACTCATTCGAAGAGCAGCAAAACTCCTGTTTTCCACTGCAGCTCAACCATTTTCCATTCCCACCAGCAGTGAGGAATGCTACAATTTCTCTACATCTTTGTCAACATTTGTTATCTTCTATTTTCTTCATCATAGTCATCATCCCAGTGGGTCTGAATTAGTACCTCACTGTGGCTTTGATTTGCATTTCCCTGATGACTAATAATAGTGAGATCTTTTTGTATGCTTGTTGGCCTTTTGCATATCTTTTTTGGAGAACATTTAGGTTTTTTGGAAGGTAACTGCATGGACGTTAGGCCAAATTAGGGGCACCTGGGTGGCTCAGTTGGTTGAGTGTCCAATTTCAGCTCAGGTCATGATCTCATAGTTCATGAGTTTGAGCCCTGTGTCAGGCTCTGTGCTGACAGCTCGGAGCCTAAAGCCTGCTTCGGATTCGGTGTCTCCCTATCTCTCTCTCTCTCCGCCCCTCCCCAGCTTGCTTTCTGTCTCTCTCTCAAACAAATAAACCGAATTAAAAAAAAAAAAGGCCAAATTAGCTGTGGTTTTTTAGATTGCTGTTCTATATTTACAAGAACTACTTAGTTCTTAAAATTGGTAAGATTCGTTTTAAAGGCATCATTAATTCATAATCTCAAAGGCCATCTTAAGTTTCCTTCTTTTCCCAGATTCAAAACCATCCATAGTCCTATTCATAACATGGCTTATTCATCTCTGTATCTTAAACACTCAACAAAGTGTAGATACTTACAAATATGTTTGTGGGAGATGCAGGAGAGAAGCATCAAAGGAAAAGACTTCAAAAGGGAAGGCCTGGAGAAGGTACAAGGCCTTAGGACATGTTTACATAGCTGACCACTGCTGCTGCTGCGTAAGGAATGCCTAGAGCCATTAACATTGTCCAGGGCGGATCCTCCTTCACACCTGACCCTTCCTAGTGTTGTAGAAACCAATTAACTCAAAATTCAACCTTGAAAAGCTAAGCCATTAGATTGATTAACACACTTGCTTAGCTGACTTTATGCACGTAGTCTTTAGCAATTATCCTAATAAAAAGAAGCTTCATTCTGGGGGTCTTCATTCTGACTCAAGTATGAGGACCTTCACTTTAACTGCACTTAGTTTGTGGACTCATCTTTTGTGACTCCGGCCACACTCCCTGCAACATATTTATTGAATGAATTGTCTCCCATCAGCCATCTTTTCTGACAATGTGTCCATACTAAATTCCCAGGTTCTGCATCATTTTCAGTATATTAAGATACTGCACTCGGGAAGTAGCAGACAATCAGAAGTTCTTTAAGCACCTAAACACCACAGCTAACAGCTCCTTCAAGCTAGGTCCCCATAGCCCACTGGGGATGCTATAAGGGATATCAAATTCTTCACATATTACACATGTTAAGTCAAGACACCAAAGGCACATGCACACAGGCCACAAACACAGGCCGGCTTTATAAAGCTAATTAAAATCCAAACTTTCTATGTAATTTGTCCACGTTTGTCTATCTAAGTGATTAAGAGCTCGAGGAAATCTAGAGTAGCTGGGATGGAACAGAGTTATAAAGTACTTGTCCCCACTGATCTCCTTGAATGGGCATATGGTGACAAAGTGGAGAGAAGGGGTCTGGCCCCCACAACCTTGGTACTTATTCTAGAAATGTGGGTGCCTTTTTATTTGTCAAGCTCTCCATCAGGGCTAGTTTAATAGACACTGTATCTGTGTCTGGGGGCCAGACTGTATCTGTGTCTAGGGGACTCCTCCCCTAATCTGACTCTACCACTAACTAGCTGTCATCTCAGGCAAGTTTCTGAACCTCTCCTGTGCCTTACTTTCTTTCCTTATATGTAAAAATAATACACCTATTTCACAGGATTAGTTTGAGAATTCAGTTAAGTTGAAATATGTAATATCCCCACAACAGTGCCTGGCCTATAATAAAACTATAAATATGAGCTACTGTTTTTATTATTACAACTGTATAGATGATAGCTATTAGCATTATTTATAAGAATAGGACAGACAGATCAATGATAAATATTACTATTCTAATTATATATATGTATAAAATATGTATTTATTATAAATAAAAATGTATTTATAAATGTGTGTGTGTGTATATATATACATATATATATATATATATTTTATATTTGTAATCCCTGGTCAATAAAATAAATTATAACACAGGTTTTGTTTTTCAAATACATTTTAAAAAGAAACAGGTTTTGAGGTAAGCTAAGGAAAAAAATCATACCTATATCCAAATATGTTATATTAAAACCTTGTTCCTTGGCGATTTCACTAAGCAGCTGGATGTAATCTGTATTTGGAATACTGAGGAGGCTTCTTTTCAGTAAGTTGATCTTTTCACCAGGAGAATTCCTCAAGGAATGCCAAGTACATCCTAAAGAATGTCCTACTACATTTGTCTGAAAAAAGAGATGAAAATTAAGACTTTTAACTCTGACTGAGCTCTAATGCTATGGTATAATTAAAAGTATTTATTAGGCACATTTAATGCTCTCTACCAGAGAGCGTGTTTAAAAGGATACCATTTGGTTAAATTTCCCATTTAAAGTAGACAACACCAACAAGGACACTCTTAACAAATACCACAATGTTACAGAAGAAAGAAACACATACAATAATATACTGGAAGTATTTAAAAATACTTTTGTGTAGGACAAAGGTCTCTCAGCCAAATTTTCTGATGGCCACATTAAGATGTATGTTAAAAAAAAGATGTCTTAAGAAATTTAAGAGCAGTATAAACCAACCTGCAAATAACTGAATCTGCCTAATGGAGCAATTTACAAATTAAAATAAAAACCAATGTTCTTATCTTCATGATTTCCTGTATTAAATACCAACCAATCACTGTAACTAACAGCTGTAGAGCAGAAAACAAACTGTAGAAAAGGTGTGATGTGCAAGTTAGGTTTGAGAAGAACAAGTCATTCAAATGAAAGGAAGGACGTCTAAAAGTTCTTATCAGACTTTTCCCAGATCCCAACTGAGTTTATGGTTTTTGTTTTCTTTTTTCCCCTTTTCTTTATTCTCCCTTATATCCTTCCCTTTCTACCATGTTCGTTTATTTTTCTCAAATTGCTTTCATATCGTACGCCAAAAACAAAGTAGGGCAAGCTATTCTTAGTCTTATTTATTTTTAAAATTTTATTAATATAACTTGTCAAGTTGGCTAACATACAGTGTATACAGTGTGCTCTTGGTTTTGGGGGTAGATTCCTGGGATTCACTGTTTACATACAACACCCAGTGCTCATCCTAACAAGTGCCTTCCTCAATGCCCATCACCCATTTCCCCCTCTCTCCTATCCCCTCCATCAACCCTCAGTTTATTCTCTGTATTTAAGAGTCTCTTATGGTTTGCCTCCCTTCCTCTCTGTTTATAACTATTTTTTTTCTCCTTCCCTTTCCCCATGGCCTTCCGTTGTTTCTCAAGTTCCATATGAGTGAAAACATGTATCTTTCTCTATTTCCCTTACCATAATATCTTCCAGTTCCATCCATGTTGCTGCAAATGGCAGGATTTCATTCTTTTTTATTGCCAAGTAGTATTCCATTGTATATATAATCACACCTTATCATTTCATCAGTTAGACATTTAGGCTCTTTCCATAATTTGGCTATTGTTGAAAGCACTGCTATAAACATTGGGGTACATGTGCCCTTTCGAATCAGCACTCCTGTATGCTTTGGATAAATTCCTAGTAGTGCCATTGCTGGGTTATAGGGTAGTTCTACTTTTAATTTTTTGAGAAACCTCCACTCTGTTTTCCAGAGCAGCTGCCCCAGTTTGCATTCCCACCAACAGTGCAAGAGGGTTCCCATTTCTCCACATCCTCACCAACATCTGTTGTTGCCTGAGTTGTTAATTTTAGCCACTCTGACTGGTGTGAGGTGGTATCTCAGTGTAGTTTTGATTGGTATTTCCCTGATGATGAGTGATGTTGAGCATCTTTTCATGTGTCTGTTGGCCATCTGGATGTCTTCTTTGGAAAAGTGTCTATCCACATCTTCTGCCCATTTCTTCACTGGATTATTAGTTTTTTGGGTGTTGAGTTTGATAAGTTCTTTATAGATTTTGGATACTAACCCTTTATCCAATATGTCATTTGCAAATATCTTTTCCCATTCTGTTGGTTGCCTTCTAGCTTTGTTGATTGTTCCCTTCACTGTGCAGAAGTTTTTTTATGTTGATGAGGTCCCAATAGTTCATTTTTGCTTTTAATTCCCTTGCCTTTGGAGATGTGTTGAGCAAGAAATTGCTGCAGCTGAGGTCAAAGAGGTTGTTGCCTATTTTATTCTCTAGGGTTTTGATGGTTTCCTGTCTCATATTTAGGTCTTTCACCCATTTTGAGTTTATTTTTGTGTATGGTGTAAGAAATGTGGCCCAGTTTCATTCTTCTGCATGTTGCTGTCCAGTTCTCTGAGCACCATTTGCTAAAGAGACTGTCTTTTTTCCATTGGACACTCTTTCTTGCTTTGTCTAGGATTAGTTGGCCATACATTCGTGGGTCCAATTCTGGGTTCTCTATTCTATTCCACTGGTCTATGTGTCTGTTTTTGTGCCACTACCATACTGTCTTGATGATTACAACTTTGTAGTAGAGGCTAAAGTCTGGGATTGTGATGCCTCCCACTTGCTTTCTTTTCAACATTACTTTAGCTATTCAGGGTCTTTTGTGGTTCTGTACAAATTTTAGGATTGTTTATTCTAGCTTTGAGAAGAATGCTGATGCTATTTTGATTGGGATTGCATTGAATGTGTAGATTGCTTTGGGTAGTATTGACATTTTAACAATATTTGTTCTTCTAATCCATGAGCATGGAATATTTTTCCACTTTTTTGTGTCCTCTTCAATTTCCTTCATAAGTTTTCTATTGTTTTCAGCATACAGATCTTTTACATCTTTGGTTAGGTTTATTCCTAGGTATTTTATGGTTCTTGGTGCAATGGTAAATGGGATCGATTTCTTGATTTCTCTTTCTGTTGCTTCATTAGTGGTGTATAGAAATGCAACCCTCAAGAAAGTTGGGATAGAAGGAACATACCTTAACATAAAAGCCATACATGAAAAGCCCATAGCTAATATCATCCTTAATGGGGAAAAACTGAGAGCTTTCCCCCTGAGATCAGGAACATGATGGGGATGTCCACTCTCACCAGTGTTGTTTAACATAGTGTTAGAAGTCCTAGCTTCAGCAACCAGACAACAAAACGAAATAAAAGGCATCCAAATTGGCAAAGAAGAAGTCAAACTTTCACTTTTCGCAGATGACATGATACTCTATGTGGAAAACTTGAAAGACTCCACCAAAAAGCTGCTAGAACTGATACATGAATTCAGCACAGTTGCAGGACAGAAAATCTTAGTCTTAATTATTAGTGAGCCTGACAGAGGTTAAAGAATTTTCAAAAAGATCACAGGGATGCCCAGTATATAGAACTGAATAATCTACAAAATTTATTAAATAGAGGTTTTTTTTACTAATAAAATTGTAATTATTTTAAGTTTTTATTTAAATTCTAGTTAATACATAGTGTAGTACTGGTTTCAGGAGAATTTAGTGATTCATCATTTACATATACCACCCAGTACTCATCCTAACAAGTACCCTCCTTAATAGTCCTCACCCATTTAGCCTATCACTCAACCCATATCCTCTCCAGCAACCCTGTGTACTTTGTCTCTTATGGTTTGCCTTCTTCCTCTCTTTATATTTTTCCTTCCCTTCCCCTATGTTCTTATTGTTTCTCAAATTCCACGAGTGAAAAAATAGGATAGTTGTCTTTTTCTGACATATTTTGCTTAGTATTAACACATTCTAGTTCCATCCATATTGCAACTGGCGAGACTTCATTCTTTTTGAATTTTGTAATTGTGTACACACACACACATCTTCTTTATCCATTCATCAGTCAATGGACATTTGGGCCCCTTCCATAGTTTGGCTATTGCTGATAATGCTGCCATAAACATTGGGCTACACGTGCCCTTTCGAATCAGCATTTTTGTATCCTTTGGCTAAATACCTAGTAGTGCAATTGCTGGGTCATAGGGTAGTTCTACTTTTACTTTTTTGAAGAACTTCCACACTGTTTTCCAGAGCAGCTGCACCAGATTGTATTCCCACCAGCAGTGCAAAAGTGTTTCCCTTTCTCCACATCCTTGCCAACATCTGTTGTTGCCTGAGTTGTTAATTTTAGCCACTCTAACTGGTGTGAGGTGGTATCTCAATGTGGTTTTGATTTGTATTTCCCTGATGATGAGTGATGTTGAACATCTTTTCATGTGTCTGTTGGCCATCTGGATGTCTTCTTTAGAAACGTGTCTATTCATGTCTTCTGCCCATTTCTTCACTGGATTATTAGTTTTTTGGGTGTTGAGTTTGATAAGTTCTTTATAGATTTTGGATACTAACCCTTTATCTGATTTGATGTTTGCAAAAATCTTCTCCCATTCCATAGGCTGCCTTTTAGTTTTGTTGTTTCCTTCACTGTGCAGAAGCTTTTTATGTTGATGAGGTCCCAATAGTTCATTTTTGCTTTTGTTTCCTTTGCCTCCAGGGACATGTCTAGTAAGAAGTTGCTGTGGCCAAGGTTGAAGAGGTTGCTGCCTGTTTTCTCTAGGATTTTGATGGTATCCTGTAGGTCTTTCGTCCATTTTGAGTTTGTTTTTGTGTTTGGTATAAGAACATAGTCCAGCTTCATTCTTCTGCATGTTGCTGTCCAATTTTCCCGACACTATTTGAAGAGACTTGTCTTTTTTCCATTGGATATTCTTTCCTGCTTTGTTGCAGATTAATTGGCCATACATTTGTGGGTCCATTTCTGGGTTCTCTATTCTGTTCCATGGATCAGTAGGTCTGTTATCATGCCATTAATATACTATCTTGATGATTACAGCTTTCTAAAACAACATGAAGTCTGGGACTGTGATGCATCTAGCTTTGGTTTTCTTTTTCAACATTATTTTGGCTATTCAGGATCTTTAAATAGAATTTCATATTCCTTAGTTGGAAATTTAAAATTTGGTTTTTAAAAAGTATCATTCTTTGATATAGTAATTGCAATAGGAACAAATATATAATGAAAAATAGTCTCTTTTGCTTACTATCTCTACCCAGGAAACTTATGTTGCCCTCCCCAGAGGTACTTAATGTTGAAACATTTCTTCAATATCCTTCTATAACTGTTCTAAATTCAAGCACACACAGTCTTCTTTTCAAACAAAAATGATAGCTTACTCTTCTACATCTTGTTCATTTTTCTCATGTCAATGCACATATATGCACTATATTTACCTTACCAGTCTTCAATTATGGGTTTTAGGTTATTTCTGATTTCTTGCTTTTACTAACAATGTTACAATAAAACTCTTTTGCACTTGGATGTCTTTACCTGTAGGATAATTTCTAGAAGTAGAACTGAGTCACAGAACATGTATGCTTTTAATTTTGATAAATACTTCCAGACTGATTTCTAAACCAATTTATACCTCCATCAACATTCTTGGAGGGTGCTTGTTTTCGGATACCCTCACCAACAGCAGGTGCTATCGAACTTTGTAGGTTTCATCAATCTAAAAGGTGAAAATTGTTATCTAGTTTAATGTCCATGAATGAAGCTGATCATTTTTTTTTTTTAACCATTTGTATTTCTTCTACAGAGTTATCTTTTTTATTGATGTGTAAGAGCTTTTTTTTTTTTTT